TTTATTTTATTTTATTTTATTTTATTTTATTTTATTTTATTTTATTTTATTTTATTTTCATGTGGATATTTAGAACTATGGTGTAATATGCCTGGATCTCTAGTCAAAGCATGGAATTGAATTCCTCTCACTTGAAAGCTCTTGCCTTTGCCAGATCTTGGGTCTACCATCCTTTCCCTAATTATGGGATTACATTTTCCAGAAATGTAGGTAAAAATTTAAGATTCAGGAAATAAAAGGTTCACAGGTCGGTTTATTTTCATATTGTTTTCATTTATTTTCCAGGAAAAAAAATCACATTTCAATAACAACTTACATGAAACTGCATTTTCAAACGGGAATCCTATTTGCAGCAATGCGTCCTCACGAAGAGTAGTTGCATATTCAAGATTCTGTGAGATGAATGACTGGAAGGATTGTGAAGGCAAGAACATTTATAAAAATCACCAGTTACAAAAAGTGATATCCACACATTCGCTAACTCATAAGGCGAGTGATGTGAAGATGGTCTCATGATTATTATCTTCAGTTGGTCCAGCCACACTCCTGTCCTGCTTGCTGTCCAGTAGAGAGAGCTCAACTCACAACGGCTGTCAGAGGGAACAAGCCTCTGCTGCTTTGTTGGGCTGATCACTGGATGCAGTCAGCCTTAGTGCAGATGAGCCACAAGCTCATGTAATGAGCAGGAAGGAACAGAGGCAAAGCATTGACTTTTCCACTAAATTTAAAATACACTTGAGTATTTGAACACACAGTGTCTTCTGTGAATATTTGATGCCCGAGATGTTTTATGCGATGGTATACACAGCACACGATTATAAAGAGAGTCAGTGTACTTTTGCTACATGGGTCACAGATAATTTGAAATAAAGGCCACTATCAGGTCAAAGTACACATTAATAAGTGTCTTCTTCACTGACCAGATGGATTGCATAACTATAAGTTAGAAACACAGCAAAACTTCTCTGTGATGCCTTTCTTAGTTTCTTATTGTTAACCGTAAAACTTCAGTGGCTTATACTGCCACTTGGTGGGAAATGACAATTCAAACTGGTCATTTCATTCAGAAAGGCTTTGCCCTATGCAAGGGAAAAATTAACGAGAAAACTTTTCATTTGAAACATAGTAGTGTTCAAACAGCCTAAAATCAGCCCTGGAAATGCCTTCTCTGCTGGTATGTAGGGCTAGAGTGTTACCCCCACGGCTCCTGCTGGTTTCCCAAATAATTATTCAACAGCAATATCCGGTTCCTTTGAATGAGATAAGGGACTGAGTGGGGATGGGGGATGTTATAAGGATGCAGGAGGGTGGAAGGGGTAGGAAGCAAAGGGAGAGGCACCAATCTCTTCCATGCATATTTATCTTAAAAAGCAGTAATTAAACACTGACCCATGAAATCAATGCAGCCTTAAGATATGTCATCCTAGCAACTGCTAAGAAAAGTATTTGTCATTGGATCTTCTGAGATAGTCATTTGGTTTATTATTTTAAATAGCTTAAGGTGATGATGAATAAATGAGATTCAACATTCATTTTGCTAGAAAAGATGTCAATAAGGTAAGGAAGTTGACTGAGTCAGATGGAATTAATATATGTATAATATGCTTAGTCTAGGAAGCAGGAAATTTATGGGTAGCTTGTCTATCAGGTAATAATTCAGACTCGGAATGGATTAAAGGTTGAATTATGTTCGGAAAACATAAATGTCATTTCTGTCTGATACAACAAATTTTAAATAAAGGAACATTTTTTATTTGATCTTATGTAAAAAATGATTTTTTTTAAAAGTAAAAATCAAAACAAATCAAAGTCCAATCCTTAGGGTCAGTCCTCTGAGTCTGTGCTGAGGAAATGGTGTACTGCATTTGACCTTAACTAAAATTTTTCATAGAATTGCAAAAACTATGTAAAAATATTATCAGCATTGCGCTGACACAAATTGGTTTCTTGAAGTTGTCAGTCAAATATCACTGAAGATTCTTTGCTAGTGTTAATTACTCCAAGGATTTGGAACCTTGTCAACAAGTAGGAGCTTGAAGTGCTGATCACAGGTTCAGATCTTTAAAAAACGGAAACAATTTCCATGCTGGGTTAAGAGTTCTTGGGAAAATAAAATTCAAACTCACTGAAAGATACTAGTGAGTGCAGAAAACAACACACTTCCGACGGGCAAAATTCCCTTAAAGCTACAATTGTCTTAGCCAGCCCCTCTTTCTTATATAATCTGGTTTATATATCCTTCAATGGAGCTGTGAATTATAATTAGAAGGAAGGTTTCCTAAAGTTTTTCAAGGGATAGTCTTATACTTAAAAACACCCTTTTACCAGCTCAGCGACAGACACGCTAAGCTTCATGAAGAGTGTGAAAGTTATTACCCATAGCTGAAGAGAGACAGTTGTGACATAAGACCATGCGTTTCAGAACACAATGAGTGTTTGCTTGGATTAATAAATCAAATATGATTTGGAAAATACTGATGAATGTAGTTCACATATACCATATTTCTCTTCTATAAAATAGCATTAAGGGTCACTTAATCTACACTGGCTTTGTACTAAAACTTCTTTTTCTTATGAGGCTAAAGATGCACTTAGTACAAGCTAAATGTACTCCAGGAAGAAAAGGAAGAAACCAGAAGTTCAGTCTGGAGAATAAATTTTTATACCCATGACACATGTCCACAATCTGTCTTTTATTTTTCAGCACTACCCATTTAGGATAGAAAGCAGAAAGTAAAACACAGGACCAGTCAAAAAGGCCATTCTTAGTCATCACAACCGATCCTAAAAGTTGACAGTCTTTCAAGAAGGAACTTTATTTCAATTGGATACTAACAATGTGGCTCTGGTTTACTGTAGATGGCACAGCCCCAGAGCAGTGATGGATGAGAAAGGCCAGTGCTTTTTGTTTCTTTCTTTTTAACATTTGGAGATGTAAAGAGTGCAGTCCACTCTCATTCCTCCTCCTCATTTTATAGATTAACAGGAAACATGAGAGAGAATGGTGAGAGAATGGTGTTCTACACTGTATGCCAAACGAACAAAGGAAACCAACGTAACACAAACAAAAAGGAAAAGGAGGAGGGAAGGTTCTACAATGCTCGGAGATAAATTGAGATACTGAGCATGGTAAAGAGGGTTCATATAAGAGTCCCCTCAGTGCCACATGACTTGATTTAGTTATTTATACCAACAATTTGACTCGTTGGCTAAGGTGAACATCATGAGGACATCATGGTAACATCACATTTCCTTATATTAAGTTTCTAAGTTATATTCTGAACCCACATTGATGTCACTAAAAAATTCGATTTCAGGTTTTAGAAGTTGCTCAACAGAAAAAGTCACAAGACAAAATAAATACATTTGACTGGGAGTTTGCAAAACGCATCCTCTTTGGGTGAAGAGAAATCTCCAGCACACACACACACACACACACACACACACACACACACACACACAATGTCTCTCATCTCTCTCTCTCTAGTGGATATTTGCATATTTTACTATCATTCAACTTTCACTGACAACATGTAATTGGTTTGGAAAAGGCAAGACAAAGCAAAAGGTGGTAAAATTCTTTTCAGAGTGAGGCTAATCTACGTTTATTAAGCCAAGAGTTTACGAAATAAAGTCAGTTTCCAGATTTACTGTCTGAGTGTCCCTTACAAGCAAGGAGCTATTACTAATTAGACTGAATTGGGAGAAAAACGTTAGAAAATTGGCATTTATCTTAGAAATTAAATGCTGAAGTACACTAGAATGTGAGCAATAAAAAGGGCCCTAGAGAATTATTAGAGCCACGGTGCTCAGCTCTTGGGCACTTATGAGTGTATAGATTCCAAGTTCTATCCCTAGAGATTGATAAAGACTTGCTGGTACTCATTGTAGTCTGTCTAGGTTCTGAGCATACAAAGAGGCCTCGATTTAAATCATTATTACTATGATTGGTTAGAAACAAGGGGTCTCAAATTTCATCCTTGGAACAGATATCCATTCTTTTAAAATAATATCTTATCCGGTTCCTCTTTAATGCTTTCAATGCAAACTTTTCAGAGTGCTGTTTATCTTGACATTCAATTTGATTATTTTATCAAAATAAACCAAATGAAAGAGCAAGGTACTCATTGCATTGTCAGGATAATTGAGGTCATTGCTAGCTGTGATGTCATTTTGGGGGAAATTAATCAACCTAAGCCTCAATACCATCATTGGGAAAATACAAGCTGAAAAGCATTTTTGCCATTTTGGAATCTAATTTAGAATGAAGTGATATCTGCAGTGACTGACAGCCCAGGAGTACTCACTGTACGGTTATTTTTATTGTGTAGAAGCTAATCACTATCATTACACATGTTCTTATAGTCTCAAAAGGTGGTTTGTCTGGGTTAAATAGAACTGTAAGTCTTCAGAGTAGGAAGATACTTGAGAATCATTTACATATTGTGATACTATGTTTCAGTGTCTGGAGAAATCCCTTCTCTGCTTGGCAACATTCTGCTTTTAGGATTCTAGACACATGCTTATTAGAAAAAAAAAAAGAAGTCCCATTAAAAAAAAAACTTGAAAACTGCATATGGATTCACTCTCACCATTAACGTGAGAAGGCAGGGATGCATTGCACATCAGTAGCAGAGCAAAGGTAGATTTGCTTCCTTCAAAGGAAGAATTAAAGGTGCAAATGTCTGTAACTATGACTCTGATACTTTGCAGACTGAGATCAAGGAGATGTATATAAATCGTAAAAAAAGCACAAGCATCTGCTCTTTGAATTTCCAGTCACCATTTGCACATGAACAGTCTTTCTAAAGGTAAGCTGCACCCCAAATACCATATAGGGAATTGTCATTTTTAGCTGTAGGTGTATCTCATAGAGTTTTAAATTAGCAATTGCAAGTTCCAATTGGGATAAAATTAAGACTAATTTAAACAAGAATTTATTTTGGAAAGTTTCATAAAAATATGGGGTTTATTTGAAGAGGAAAGCATACTTTCCATGTCACCAAAATAAAACATTTACACTTTCTATCAGCTTTAAAAGTCAGAGTGTTTAGGAAATTGCTCTCTGACTAATTAGAATTTTGTCTTAATTTAGCTTACTGTCATGCCAACTATCTGGCTATGAGCTAACCCATTTTGTTGGGACAAAAGGGAACCTGACCTGATTGACACTGATAATTGAGACCTGGCCTGCCTAGTCTTGGATCACGTCTCAGAACATGAATTTTTTATCCCACAGTGCTGCACACAGAGCTTTACCAGGAGGTGAAATCGCACAAGCTTAAAACCAAACAGCACCAACATCTCCATCTTTGATATGAGCAACTGTTGTTATTTGACCTACTTTCTCAACTAGAAGGAACCACACATTCCCCAATGAAGCTCTGAATATTCAAGTCTTAATTTTGAGATCACCAACTGTCATTTCATTTCACAAGAGTCAATTAAGGGATTATAAGATTTCTTAACAGTTTCCAATTTGGTTCCTGGAAACGTTTGAATAATGTTAGAGACTACTTAAATCTCTTTCTTAAATTACGTTTTTACAATATCAACAAAATTATTCTTTGGAAAGAAACATTGTGTATTTAATGACCAATTCATTCTAAAACTTCACAAAAATAAGATATAAAGAGAAGAACATGAGAAACAGTAATATTTACATATTTTTAATATGCTTTGTGTTAATATTCAATATTTTTTCCATGAATTGACTACTTAAAAACATTGTATAATCACATTCTAGATAAGCTTCATTTTTCTGCTTCTTACTCTCCATTGGCCTAAATTTTTTCATTTCCACATGTTCCATTAGATTTAAAATTAACATTTTATTTCTCTATTTTGGTTTCAAAGCCAAACCTTTTTGTAAACAAATTAGTTTGTTCAAAAAACCTTCAAAGCCAGGCTGCTTTGGGGAATTAGGCAAGAGCCTACTTTAAATAGATGAACTGTTCGCAGGTAAAAATGGATCACCTTGGATATCCTTTTGGTAGTAAGCATTGATCGAAGAGAACATAGATAAATCTACAGAGCTCACTAGAAACGACTGCCAACCACAATCTCACTGTTGAAGTAAGACTTAGAAAATTTTAATTTGATTCTAAAATTGAAAGGAGCTGATGTCTCTTTGTCAAATTTGAGTGGATACAGAATGAGATTCAGCAGCAAACGATACACACCCCAGCTCAGGTGGAGTTGTTTAATAGGAGAACCTCGAACAGGAACTGTTCTCTGCTTAAAATAACTTGTGATGTACTGGAAGACGTATTCTTTACGCCTGACACGACACTGCTCTGATTCCCCTCTGGTGGGGCAGACACTTCTCCCCCCCCCCATCCCCGCCCTAGAACTGTGGCATTTACTGACGTTCAAGGCCACTGTCCTGGCTCTGCTTCTAATTCCCCAAGAACGGTGAAGATTCACAGTTGTATACGATGAATCTTAAATCTTCCCAAAATATTCATAGGATAACAAGGTGAATAGAATTTCATTTATAAAGTTTATTTCTTCCTTCCCCCAAAGATGTAAATGATAAGTTTAAAATTCTCCTTTTGGATGGAACAGGGAAATATTTTTTTTCCTCCATGTTTCTGTGGTTTGATTCTTGTGAGTAAAGATGAAACAAGGTACCCACCCCTGGATGCTGGACGAGGGAGGCCCCTCTGTTCAAAGCAATTGTGCAAAAGTTTCAACCAGTTCAGCTACAGAAAGTCTCAAAACTTTAAAAATCACATTGGCTTTAATCTGATGACTTAGCAATCTCCACATTTGCCAAACTGCAGAGAAGGGGCTTAGGGTCAGGAAAGATTTCAGCATCCTCTGCACTCTTGGATATAATTTAATATACTTAAACTTTAAATATGAATTGCTTTTCCCTTTTTACACAAGTTATAAAAATAAGAGGCCCTGTTTACACAGTTTGCATTTTTATGAAATTTGCAGTTTGAAAAAAAAGCTCTTTAAAAAGTGGTAATTAATGTTTCTCTTTGAATATGCTGTAACTTTAGAATTGTTTTTTTTCTGAAATAGTTTCTGAATTTAACCCACTAAACCGAAGCTAGAAGTTTTCTTTAGCACTAGAGGGAAACATAGTAAAGAGTGAAGGAAAGGAAGTTGGGTGTTTTGTTTCTGGTTCCATTTAAGGTTCTTGATGTGTGGCACCCCCTTTATGATAACTATCAACATTATATTTAAATTTTATATATTGACAAAATGCACTGTATCTCTGTAAGCATTGTGCCGTTCAACAGTACTGCTGTTAAGTTTACATACCACAGTTTAAATTACATCTGTTTCAGGAATGGAAAAGGCTAAAACCCAAGTGTCTAACTGCCTTACTGGAATGAAGGTACAGTTTACAAATACAATAATTACATTTTAAAACCATTAACAAATATTACACCTATAAGTAAATACTGTAGAACTGATCATCATAGTACGGGGTGCAAGAAGTCACTGCTGAAAGCCAGGCCCTTCCAGCTGACAGACCCCAAGTACGGACATCGGCTTGTTTTCATGAAACCAGATTAAAACATGTCTCTCAAACAACAGTTCTCCGGGGCATGGATCTTCCAAATCCTTGCATGACTGTTTATTAGTTATCTGCCAAATATTTTCCTGCAAAACACAATCACAGATCAATACATCATCTACAAGCTCAACGGATTGTCTATTGCTGCTGTTCTACCCCTTGGAACCAAACCCTGCATGTCTGGGGTTCCACGCTCCTAGGACGTGGTGAGGTTTTCAGGTTTCTTAGTTCTCCACATGCACAATCACCAATTTTACTTCTGCAGACAGTTTGCTGAGCATTCTGGATCCTGCCCAGGTGGGGAAGGGATTTGTCCCTGAATATGAGAAGCCATTCATATTTTTTTCAGACAGGTGGGGAAGGGATTTGTCCCTGAATATGAGAAGCCATTCATATTTATTTCAGACTTAGTTCATTTGAGAGTGAAAGGGATATAATTAATAATGAATTACATCAGAACAGCAGACATAGAAACCAGGACCCACAGGAGGAGGAAGGAGGGGAGTGGTAACATGTTTGCTTTGCATGTTTAAGGCTCTAGGTTTACCTGTGCAAGCCACTGACAAGAGCAGTCACTTTATTACCAGAGAGATCCTGCCCTCCATAAAAGCTCTATTGTTTGTGCCATACCCGGTTCCTGGGCAAACAGTTCATACCTGTAGACTAGATATTTATCTATCGTCTGTCTGTCTGTTTGTCTGTTTGTCTGTCTGTCTGTCTGTCTGTCTGTCTGTCTGTCTGTCTGCCTCTATCTATCTATCTATCTATCTATCTATCTATCTATCTACCTATCTATCTACCTATGGGGGCGGGGGGAATGTATACATCGATGCATATGTGGAAGTTAGAGGACAACTTGTGGGAGCTGATTTTCTTCTTCCATCATCTTGACTTTCAAAGAGTCAAACTCCGGTTATCAGGCTTGGTGACAAGCACTTTTATTCACAGATCTACTTCACCAGCTCAAAACTACACATTATTTTTTTCAAAAAAATTATTATAGTATGTGTATAGATGATGCGTGTGTCTGTGTGTGTGTGTGTGAGAGAGAGAGAGAGACAGAGAGAGAGAGAGAGACAGAGAGAGAGAGACAGAGAGAGAGAGAGAGAGAGAGAGAGAGAGAGAGAGAGAGAGAGAGAGAGAGAGAGAATGAGCCAGCACACATGTGGAGGTCAGAGGGCAACTGTTTCAAGTTGCTTCTCTCCATACACGTTGGGACCTAACCCATGTTGTCAGGCTCACGTGGCAAGTGACTTTAACTTGCTGGGCCATCTCACAGACACATTAAAGGTTGCTTTTAAAGTAAAAAAAAAAACCAGATCTTTCCGGGTCTTAGCTTAGCCTGACAATTCTAAATTTCAGAAAGTTAGGTTGGTGGAGAAAACAGAAAACCTCCCTAGGAATCTAATGCGCCCACACCTTAGGCATGCCACACATTTTTATGCTTTCTGTTGTTTTTTCAAAAATACATTTTCAAGTCAAAGCCTAGTCTGTTGATCGTGTTTGGCTCTACAGTGTCAGGACTTATCTCACGGACTTCAATACACAGATCACACAGGTGGGCATGATGATTCAGCCCAACATGAGAAACAGATCCAGCACGAGCAGCCCATGCTGGAATTGTCAGTTCATCTGTACTTCAATCAGTTATCAGTTTGCTTTCTAATGGGCTGTGGGGGTAGGAATTGTGAAGAGGCAGAATATGATGAGAGAAATCACAGCCAGTCCCTGTTTGAGGAGGGATAGCCACCCACTTACCTGCAGCAAACCTCTTCTTAATGAGTGAAAACCGGTAGCCTGCTCCCACAAGCTCAATGTCACAGCCAGAGAGAGTGCTTCCTTCACTTGTGAACTGCACAACTAACGGAGAAGGTTTGCTTGGGCCTTCTGATAACTGAAATCTCGCCAGTAAAGAACCTACGCCTTTAAAAGAAGAGCATTATTGCAAGACAGCAGTTGGCAGCATTCAGCACGTGACTTTTAAAGAGCACTTGAGCTGGGGACAGTGGTGGCACACGCCTTTAATCCCAGCACTTGGGAGGCAGAGGCAGGCAGATTTCTGAGATCAAGGCCAGCCTGGTCTACAGAGTGAGTTCCAGAACAGCCAGGGCTATCCAGAGAAACCCTGTCTCAAAAAAATCAATAAAACAAAACAACAACAAAAAACAAAACAAAACAAAACAAAAAAACCCCCAAAGGTGCGCTTGAGATGAACTTCGTAACACTGGGCAGCCTAGGAAGCTGTGTATTCTTCATTTACAAAAAAATGATGGCAAGTAAAGCATCCTTGAGTACTGTGAGCAACTGGTTGAAGTATGCCAGCAGAGGACAACTATGTGGGACATGACACAGGATGGATACATGCCATAGTCTATGTGAGTTGAGGGCTTGGTTGGAAAGGAGAGAGGAAGGTCCACTAAAAGCCACTTGCTTTGATAGATGTTAATAACTAAAAGAAGTCTAATAAAACATTCTGCTTGCTTCTAGGGCTACATGGCTTTGGGTTCATAGTTGGCCAATACCTGTAAGTTATGCCAGATGTAAGCCTTTAATTACATTACCTCCATTTTCTGACTTCTGGGAGATATCAGGAATCTTCCATAATATTCTTTGTTGTTCAGCATTCCTAAAAATAAAGGAAAGGGTTTTTTTTTTCCACAAAGAATTTGTTCAATAGATGCCACCTTTCCAGGTAGTGCTAAATTAAAATGGACTCAAAACGTTTAGCTCTGCCTAACTATATTTGTACCCCTACATGCATATGTGTTCTTCCTTTTCCTTATTCTAAGGAGCTAGAGCAATGCAAGATAAACAGAGGGAAATACAGTCCTTAGAATACATCTACCCAGAAAATAGATGAGAAGCAATTGTTAATTGTGGGGTTTAGGTAACTTTCACTGACAGTGCTGGTTACTGCTAGCTCACATTTGTTTTGTTTTATTTTTTAAACATTTATTTATTATATATGGAGGCTTTGTTTGCATGTATGCCTGCATGACAGAAGAGGGCGTGAGATCCTATTATAGATGCTTGTGAGCCATTATGTGGTTGTTGGGAATTGAACTCAGGACTTCTGGAAGGGCAGCCAGTTCTCTTAAGTGCTGAGTCATCTCTCTAGCCCCCACATTAGTTTTAAAGAAGTATTCTACATTTTGCTAGTACTTGTGAAAAAACTGAAACCCTCCTCATCCCCCCATTACAGATGATTCTAGCACTCAGCAATTTCCAGTCCCATCTGATTCCTACCAGTTTGGCTCCTATAATTTGGTGGCTCAGTGGAACACTGCATCCCTTAGACTCTCTTGCAGTTAAGGTCCTAGCTCCAAGGGAGGCTCAGGTTCGGGAGGTTGAGGAGTCTGATGAACCTGTCTGCTGTTTCCCTAGCCAGCAGCCGGAATGAAGTGTCTTAAAACACAGAGTCCAGCCTGGGCCCCGGTGTGTGTGTGTGTGTGTGTGTGTGTGTGTGTGTGTGTGTGTGTGTGGGCCCCAGTGTGTGTGTGTGTGTGTGTGTGTGTGTGTGTGTGTGTGTGTGTGTGT